TTCACCTGGCCTCCCGTTCATTCTACAGATTTAATGACATTTGGTACTATTACACTCACTGCCAGGACCTTGGAGGGGCGGGGTGGGGGTATTTACACATTGAGTTATGGATAGAGGAAGAGGAGAAAGATGGGTGAGAACTCAGACCGTATGGAACAGAGAAGAATTTGAGACCTTCACTGTACATGGATTAATCGTAAGAACTAACCACCCAAGTCCAAATGGATATTTAGAAGTTGGTGAAGCCTCTCAGATGTTCTGTGGGAGACACCATACATTTTCTAATGCATGACTTTGTGCAAAATGATGTGTAATTTATAACCCAAGTATTGGTAGACACCCCTACCCCCACCCCGCCACCCCAGCTTTGGTGTTGTAGATGAGCTCGGTAACATATTCACATGTGAATAACGTTTCCCATATCTGGTCACATCTGTGTCCACACATTTCTTTAGATCCAGTGGTTATGGTTATAATAAGGAGTGATAAGCTGCCGTTTTGATGATCCTACCACAGTTCAGCTTTGGGAACTACATTAGTGTTAAATTGGTCTGTGAAGAGCTGGCCATATTAATGCTACCAAGCATGAAAGCTAACTGGATTTGGATCAGGAAACTTTATTTATAGCATTTTAGTGAGGATTTATTAGTTTAAAGAGGGAGCCACATGCCTCGTGGGTTCTTAAATATTAAATGGAGTAGGAAGTCCTGTGTTCTCTTCTAATGTCAATAGCTGTAACAGCACAAAAAATTATATTTTCACACTTGTTTCTATTTCTGTACATTATCCAAAGACATGCAACAAACTCATAGCAAAACCCAGGAAGTGTCTAAGCATGCAACACACACAGTTGTTTACAGGTGACATTGGATTGTATAGCAATATACAATGAATTAGAAGAGAAATAGTGGTGACTTATACTGGCATGAGAAAAACTAACAAGTCTTTACATATTGAACAGAAACTGCACATTTATGTTTTGTATGTTATTTGTTCTTATATTTCATTGCATTAAAAATGTCCAATCTGCTTTTCCATCTCTTTTCATCTCTTTGGTGAAATTGTCACCATGCTCTGTCTTTGTCCCCAAATAGTAGAGTGGTTTACTGTCTGTCAAGAGTTACAAGGGGAACATCACGGTTCATTTTTCTCCTATTGAATTTGGAATTGAATTAGTAAATTAAAGTTTTCGGCAGTTTAATTCACTTCTCCATAAAGTTTATGGAGCAGCAACAGCTGGTTGAATCCAAGGTAGCAAAAGCCAACTTATAGTGGCCAAGCTACTGTTTCAGAATGAGGAGGAGCTCATTAGAGTAATGAAAACACGGAGGGTAAAAACAAGCAGCATAGACACCCTGGCAAATAATGGCCTCACACCTGACATTAAGCTGTTTTATCTTTCTGCTCCAACCCCAGAAATTCTCAACTTATCACTCTATGTAGTATGAATGAAATTGAGTTTGACTCTCAGTAAGAACAATAGAGAAATCATCCCCGAGATGGGCCCCTCGGCACAGGTACTCAGTGGAGAACCTGCCATTGAATATACTAAGGAGCATATAGAGTGCCCAATTCTTATGACACTTAGGAATCGAGGAACAAATTACCAGCTAATAGCAGGTGAACCCCTGATAGAGTTCCCCTAGATCTTGTTTAGAAATACAAAGAAAAAGGCTGAAGGCGGTGGGTGTGATTAATGGAGATATAGTGTGTTAGAATGTATATCTGCAGAGAAATATATTGATTCTGAGGGAGTTGCAGCGGGAAGTTGCGTGTCTCCAGTGGCAAGGGTCTTGCTTGGGAGAAAGCCGTTCTAAGCAGATGGAGTTCCGAGCCCTAATTGTTCGGTTGCTGAGTGGAAATGTCTGTCACTGTAGCTTGTGATCATTTATGTCTGATCCCACTGGACTCCAGTTGTGGCCGCTTGGAACCTGGACTGTGAGAGCTGTGAATGAATCCAGAGAGCATGAGTGGCTACACTTTAAGGAAAAACTAAGATCCAAAATGACCATGGTAATTGTCAGGTCTTCTATAAAACTTCTCACCCATGCATCTCAACTAGTTGTAATCATTTTAATTACACAGGGACATCTATTTACACAACGTGATAAAGCTAGATTCTGTGTGAGCCCAAGGGAGGTGGGCCACTGGATATGACAGTAAAAAACACTCATGACATCTTCATCATCGGGAGCTAATTGCACTTAAGTGTAAGGCATGCTTTTTGCAACCACAGCCATCTGTGGTGCCGACCTAGGCTCCATCGAAAGTGTGGACTTGTAACCCTTCCTTGCTGCATATAGAGACAGGGGTACAGGCTGGCCCTGAACACAATAGTGTTGATGTCCACCTTGTGCAACTATTCAGATGTCACTGGAATCATGTGGAAGTGACTAAATCAAGGGCCAAATCCAAGAGGTGTTTGGCGCTCAAGGAAGCTCTGAGCGCCGTCTGCATGCTGGACTGTATCTGGGGACAGAAATAAAGGCATTAGTAGAAAATTCCACCAAGTACAAATAAAGCCCTAATGTGCTGATATTAATGTGTTGGTTTGGCAAATAGATTTCATTCATGGAAGAGGCTGACATTGAGGAAGACTGGAGGAAGGCTGTATACAAGCGGTGTGCTTTCTTCACAACACGTGGAAAGCTTATTTTAAGGATGGGCAGTGGTATTCCAGCATTCAGGAAGCAGAGGCAGGAAGATCTCTGTGAGTTTGAGGCCAACCTGGTCTACACAAGTGAGTTCTAGGACAGCCAGGGCTACATAGAGAGACCCTTGTCTCAAAGAGAAAAAAAAAATAACAAAACCAAAACACTATTTTAAAATTTCAAAAAAAGTCTTTAAAAGCAAAAACAAAATCTATGGGGCCTCTGGTAGTAGATCAGTATTTATTCCTAGCATAAGAATGGACTTTGGGAATCCATTTCACATAGAGGGATACACTCTCAGCCTAGACACACCAGGGAAGGCCTAGGCCCTGCTCCAAAAGATATGACAGACTTTGAAGATTCCCCCATGGAAGGCCTCACCCTCCCTGGGGAGCAGAAAGGGGATGGGATAGGGAGTTAGTGGGGGGCAGGGGAGGAGGGGAGGGAGAGGGAACTGGGATTGACATGTAAAACAATCTCATTTCTAATTAAAATTTAAAAATGGAGAAAAAAAAGCAAAAACAAAAATTCTCCCTGATCACCGTATTTATTTTTTAGGTGTAGTACTAGACAGGAGTGAGTTCTTCCTCTCAGTGGTAGTTCTATCAGTTTTATGAAGCAAAGCCGAGCACTAAATCTAGAACGGTGACTGCATGCTGGAGTTCAGTATGTCTGTCCTGTTAGTCTTAAATTTTGCTTGGAACATGCACTACTTTTTTATTTCTTTTTTTTTTTTTTTTTTTTTTTTAAAAAACGGGGTTTTTTTTCCCCCCCAAAAATAAAATTGTTTTGATTCGCCTCCAAAATGAAAATTCCTTTTATCTTTGCAGCTCACTTTCAGGTCTCTAGCCAGACTGTTCATTTACATCCTCCTACCCTCGTTGATAATGTAATTTCAGTGGCTCTGCCACGGTGTAAAATTTGAGTGTTTTAACCCTCTGTCCAGCCTTTGGGGTTTTTATTGAATAGCAATCACACAGGGATGCTCTTATGCTCAGAGTGTGTTTTTTCTTCTGCCTTTAGCTGCTCACTCTTGCGTCAGGTAAAAGATTTCTTTTCTATTTTTTGTAACAATAAACTCTACAGTTTATTTTAAAGTCCTATGCCCGTGAGTGTTCCGGGCAGTCTCTGGCAGCCACCTACCACGGAGCATTCGGAGACAAATCTGTTTTGTAAAAAGAAAAGACTACAGCCATTCCCCCTCCCCCCCCTTTTTTTTTAAAAATCATTTTATATCCTCCCCATCCTTGTAGTTTAATTTTAGGAAATAAACCTTTAAAGTGAGGCAATACAGATTCTGGGCAGGTTGTTTGGTTTCACTGCTCCCTGGTTGAAATCCTGGGCCAAGAACGTTACAGTGTTTACTGAGATTAGCATTGGTGATTTCCTTTGGAAATTAGTATCTGAGATAATACTAAATTCAGTTGAAAAATCCTGTTTTCATGTTTGTGAAATGAACCAAGCAGCTGTCGGTGTCCTTTTTATCAGCCGTCTGCACCTCTGTTTGGGGGATTTTTTAAGGAAAGCAATTTACAACGCTTTCATTTTCTTCCGGTTTCTGAGTGAGCTAACATCTTCTGCCTGAACCTTTTAAAGCATCGTAATAGCATTGGCCACTTCTACAAAATACAATTCAATGTAGGCCGAAAACACCCAAAAGGGATTAGCAATGTTTTAATTGCATAATTCAGTATTGTATATACATTACCTTTTATCAAAGTCATTTTGCAGAGCAAATATTACCTTCCTCCGGCTTTTAGAATTCCTGAGAGGTTGGTTGCAGGCTGTAAACTAGAATTACAAGAGAGAACTTTATTAAGGTTGCAAAACAAGTAGTGATTTAAATAGGAATAGAATCCAGCAGAGTCTGGGTTCTCTCTGTTTACTGCTCTTATTTTTCAGGGAAAGGGAGAGTATTGACCTTGCTACATTATATTATGTGTAGAAGATTAGCCCTTTGTGTCATTCTTTCTATTTCATTTAGGAACAGAAAGAGAAAGAGGCCTTTGGGGTAAAGGTTGTAATTCATAGAGATGTAGAATATATGAAAACAAATTTATACAGCTATGTTTTCATTTTAAATGTGACAGAGAAATTGCTCTTTTGTGGCGAAAGGTCTTCCACTGCAAGCTACCAGTTGCTTAGTGCAAAAGAGAGGTGGTAGAGGGGGAAATACCCCACCCAGGTAAGTTGCTCTTGAAGTTCTTTCTCTGTCTCTCATGTGCTAACAGTAGCAGGCATACACATCAGGTAAGAGATGCATCCATTTTTGCAAGTGCTGGAAAACACCTGTAACTATGTATGTCAAGATGTCCACAGGATGACCTGATTTTCTTTCTCAACCCTCAGGAGGAGACGTTGGCCAGGACAGCTCTGATGACAATCTGAATGGGATTCATGGCCCACCACTCACATCAGAGGCATTCTTTTGGTCAGATTATCAGGATGAGGGTGAGTCGCCTATCTGGGCATCATTACCTTTCCTCTGCCCCCATTTGCCTGTGGTCACTTTATATCCAGCAATGGGTTTTCTGTGTTGACGATCACTGATAAGCAAAGAACAACTACTTGCTTCATTGTGGTGCTGAATCTCAGGGATAATCCAGTGCTCCCAAAGTTAATGTATTTAGGGAATCACTAATTCCACGTTAGAGCCGGAAGACATCATTATTGATCTTTTTTATGAAAACCAGCTTGTTTTTATAAAAGCAAGCTATGAGGGCATTTTAAGACTACAGGGCACAGGTTTTCCATCCTTTCGGATCTCTTAGCTTCACTCAGATGCATAACAGTTAAATTTGTACTCACAGACAACTGGGTTACTAATTTATTGTGAGATATTTGAGGCCCTTGAGCCTATTACACCATATTATTTCACCTGTGCTCACACCTCTGCCCAAAACTGGTTCAAGGGAAAGGCACATGAACTCAATGCAAATCTCCCCCAGAGTCAATTTTATTTGAAGTTTTGTAAATAGGAGGAGTTGAAGAACTCCACCGTTAAAACATGTAAATATATATGTGTGTGTGTGTGTGTGTGTGTGTGTGTGTGTGTGTGTGTGTGTGTGTGTGTGTAGGTAGGAACACGTAATGCAAAAATATCCATGAATTTTAGGTCTATCAATTTGGAGATTGCAGCCTAGTGGCTGCCAGCTTCCGGTGCAGGTTTAGATTTCCCAGGAGTGGGAGGCTGCTGTGTTCTTTTGGCATCCGGCCACAGGAGCAGAAGGTTTGATCATCTTGATGTGCACGGTGTCCTTATCAAACTCTCTCATGCCTTTCTAGTGGGAGGAAAGGGTGACGATGTTCCTGAGCCCAGTAGCAAATTGGATACTTATTAGTCTTAGGGGCTGGGAATAAAGTTGGTAAATTATTCCTTCTTTCTCTATGAATCCATAGTCTTCTGTTTCTTTTTCCTCTAAATTTCAAGAATGTACAATGCCTGTTTTCCTCTCTCTTTACCTATTCATCACTTGCTCTTTCATGGAGCCTTTTGAGGAGTCTTATTTTTCTCTTTCGTTGAATTGATGGCTTCTGCCTCAGAGCAAGGGATGGAATTACATAGGAATATTTTCATCTAGCTTTGCTAGCTTTGTATGCTAGAAAAGTGAGTGATACCCACATGTTCAAAGTTGGTAAGAGCCATACTGGAGCAGGTATTGCACTAAAAATGATGTTTGGACTGAACACTTAATAATTACCTTGGTAGCTGATTAATAATTGTAGAAAATTAACAGTGCAAAACGTGAAGAAACTAACATTGCATTTGCTTCTGATTAATCTAATGCTTGACAGAATCAGAACAATGGTGCCTCGTTAACTCATAGGTCACTTATTTGGTACTTCCAGCTTTCCAAAATACAGCCGAGGACATAATAAGTAAGCCAGAAAGACCTCGAAATAGAAATAGATGCCCGTGAATTCTGAGTTAACACTTAGGTTTCTTATTCTTGGGAGCGGCCCTGAAGCCCTCACTGGGGGACTCCTAACCCTTATGAATTTGTATTATAGCTTTTTGGTTTCTCAGGCCACCGTGAAGCTTCAAATGAGAAGAAGGGGCGCTGTGAGCTGACTGTGGTAGCCCACACCTGTTGGAAGGGTGAGGCAGGAGGATCATGAGTTCTAGGCCAGCCTGGGCTACAGCAAGATTCTGTTTCAGAAAACAAACAATCGAGGAGGAGGAGCTTGGAGAAGGAAGAGGAATATAGGAGGGGAATATGAGGAGAACAGGGGAGGAAGAAGGGGAAGGGGGACCGGGGGAGGAAGGGAAAAGAAGAGGAGGAAGGGGAGGACAGGAGGAGGAAAAATATTGAAACGGCATCAACTGTGGGATACTAAGGTAAGAATCAGAGCTAATTTGAACTATGAAAAATAGAAGCTAGAGGTTGGGGGTGTAGCTCAGTCATGGGACACTTGCCTAATACATATGCAAGCCCCTGATTCTGAGCCCCAAGACAGCAAAAACAAACATAAAAAAGAGAACTCCTAAAAATAATTAGAATAATGGACAAAAAATGTATAAGACTTTTAAGTAAAGCCAGGTGGTGGTGGCGCACGCCTTCAATCCCAGGACTTGGGAGGCAGAGGCAGGAGGTCTCTGTAAATTTGAGACCAGCCCGGACTACAAGAGCTAGTTCCAATACAGCCTCCAAAGCTACACAGAGAAACCCTGTCAAAAACAAAAAAACACAAAAAACAAACAAACAAACAAACAAAAATCCCAAAAAGGTCTTTAAGTAAAATCTGTGCAAAAATTTGTAAAACAAAACCTCAGCAATCTGGGACTTATTTGTATCCTAGAGAGAGATCGCTCATATTCTCCTCCTGGATAAATCAAAATTCTTAAAGCTGACATTTATTGAGCACTTCCTGTGTGTCTTGAATTTGTGTTCTAAGCACCTTGGAAATATTGTTTAATTCTCACAGAATTCCTGAGTGGTAGTTAGCATTGCCCTATTTTACAGACTTACCTGATCACACCACTGTTTGTACTGGGGCCGTGATTTGAACCGCACTTGTTGGTTCTAGAAGCTCTATTACTAACTACTGTTGTTACTCCTGCCTAAGACATCCTAAAGATGGATCTGTCTCCTAGATACTTTGCTCAGGTTATATAAGAAACACCTAACACTTAAAATACTTTCGTTAGGAACTGAGGGGCATGGCTCACTTAGGAAAGTACAAATTGGTAAACATTGACACCTGGGTTTAGACATCCAGCACCTCCATCAGGGTGCAGCCCACACCTGTAAATCCCAATGGTTAAGGATAGAGCCAGGAAGATCCCCGGGATTTCTGACATCTAATCTTGCTAAATCAGTGAGCTCCCAGTTCACTGAGAGATCCTGGCTCAAAAAATAAGGTGGAGAAATGATGGAGAAATGTAGTAGTTTCTTGCCTGTGAACCTGTAACAGTGGCCACACCCCTTTGGGCGTGGCTTCAGGTGCGGAAGGCAGCGGAAAGAGGAAAGCGTTGAGTTCTTTGCTCTTGGGTTGCCGATCTGATCAGAAAGGGAGAGAAAACGCTGCAGCGGTTCTTTATTATTTTCTGTGTAAGTTGTTCCCCAATAAAACACCCATTTATCATTTCTCTTGGGTCTAGTGAACTCATGATACCCACGCTTTCCGAGAAAAGCACTTGATGTCAGCCTCTGACCTCCACAGGCAGGTGCATGCCAATGATGCATGCAAGTGTTCGCCTGTGTGCACACGTGTATAAGCACATACACACGCGTACACTCTACTTAAACACAAACATTTTTGTTAAAAATAGTTGAATGTTAGAAGTGTGTTGGTGGATCTTGGAGTGTCGTTCATGACAGAGCACTTGCTTAGGTAGCATGGATGGGACCATGGTTGTATTCTCAGCACTGGGGGGAAAATCGCGCTAAAAGAAGTATACTTATATGTGGAAAATTCCAACATGGAAAACGTTCCAAAAGAGAGGCTGGAGAGACGGCTCAGCAGTTACATGTACTAGCTGCTCAACCCAGGGACCCAAGTTTGGGTCTCAGCATCCATGTTGAGTGATGAACAACCACCTGTATTTCCAGCTCCAGGGGATCGGAGGCTCTCTGCCCCCACCCCCAGGCACCCGCACACATGCGGTATACACTCACACACAGAGACAATGCTACAAGTAAAATGAAATATTAAAAGGGCTTTCCCAAAAGAACAGTTAAGTATATTAGCAATATTAAAGTCTTACTTCCAAGATTTTTTTGTCTTCTGTGCCTGTGCATGAAAGGTAAAGAATCCCCAAGTGACTCCGTGAATGGTAGAAATGGGGATAGATGGATGAAGGTGTGTTAAGAGACTTGACTACAGCATGGCACCATGTTTGAGTTTCTGCAAAGCACTGAATCTAGAACAGAGCAAGAGCACTTGATATGTAACAGGCAAGAGGGATGCTGCCCTCTCCTGAAAGTTAAAGATGCATATATTTCCTGTGAAATTAGAGAGAGGGCTTTGAGGAGGTTAGAATCGGGGTAGACTTTTATACTCTTGTTTAATTAGGTTGAATGTTGTAGAGGTCACAGATGCTTTGTGCTGTGTATTTAACAATACTTATTTAGAGATTCTAAGGCACTGTGTGAAGGGGAAGCAAGGTAAGCAGTGCAAAGGCAGACAGTTCCTCTCCTCACCTGCTCACCATCTCCTGGGGAGACACTGTTACCAAGTAGACAAATAAGAAGTGAGTGACTCCATTTGCAGGCAAGATAGCCACAGCCATGCTTGAGGAAGAAAATGGCTTTAACTTGCTCTGTAGTGACAGTTCTTTTAAGCTTTTTGGATTTTATCTGTGTTAGAAACCATCAAAATGTTTAGCTTTGTTTTCTTCTACCCCTCCCACGTCAGAACAGCGTTCTTGACTGAGAATTATTAAAGGACACACAGTCTGCCCATCTGCCCACTGCTTTGCTGATAAGGAGCAATAACCATGGTGCATGTCGTGTTTGGATCATGCCTTTGTGGAGACTACAAAGAGACCCAGAAGAGCATGGGATTCTGGCCAGGTGTGGGGGGATGGTGGGAAGGAAGAGAGAGAGACGGGGGGGGGGGGGAGGGAGAGAGAGGGGGGGGGGGGGGGGGGAATACCAAGGTTATAGACTAAACCATGCATAGAGTTGCACATTTATCGCTACCTGATTACAGTTCTGTTTTCCTGTGTGAATGTCCTCAGTCCCTGGCAGGCTATATCCTGTAGAGAGACACTCACAGAGCATAGCTCTGCCACTGGGAATGAAGACTTCCTAACACAGACTGATGTTGAGATTTCTGAACTGAAAGCATAGTTTCTTCCATCGGGAAGGGAAGAAAACGTTGAATTGCAGCAACTGAACGAAAAGGGTAGAAACACTGAATACAGTAACTGAACAAAATGATGTCACCCAAGAGCCCTAGAATCTAATTTATTTTAGTGTTTAAAATCTAGAGTGGATTTGAATGCA